TATTTAATTTCTCATCATAACTCACTCGATATTTATGATAAGATCATAGGTTTAAAAAATAAAGTAAAAAAAAAATAATGCTCGAATTTTAAGGAAAAATCGTCGAGAAAAATAAGAATTTTATTTTTCTTTGCCTTGTTTCTATCCGTTTTTCGGATAGAATATAGCCTATTCCAGATCTGACTATAATTTTAATAATAGATTACTTTGCGAATTTGGAGTTTTCCTACAATAATAAGACTATCATTTGCCGGCAACTTATTACAATGCAATATTAAATGTCTTAATAGTCAAATCTTTAACTGAAGTCTAGAAAACAGAAAAAGATCTTTTAAAATAACGTAAATAACATATGGTATTTCTTCATTTAATTTCTGAAGTATATACTAATTTAATTAAGAAAATTCTTATTTTCAATATCGTTTTACATTCTCTCATTTTTTAAAACACACTCTCTCATTTTTTATTTCATAACTTAGAAACTATTTCTTCTCGGAGATATTCTAATTAAATATAAACAAATTCTCTTCAAATTGACCAATGAATTATTAAAATTGATGGGCGATTCTGGGACATTTTGCGGGGAAGAGTCAATGTGTACGCTCGTGTTTGAACTGACAAATGGCGCTGTCAATTTCTGTCGTGTGCTCTTTGAATCAGGGAGAAATTCCTTTCGGGAGACAGTGAGATCCTTTCGGATCAATGAACATTTCGTGGACGTCGACGGATGACACGACGGCTGTCTAAAGCCATGTGTACACGAGGTACATCGTTCATACGCGCGGAACAAGGAACACACGCACTACATGCATAATACACACATAAACACATTCGTAACACACATGCGCAAGCGCGTGTATAAACGGTACACACCGGACGAGAGGACGATCGAACACGCATGTAATACAGCTATGCGGTTCGTTCGACCAATGAGATGAGAGCTCGGACATGCGGATGATTATATTGAATCAGACTGTTACGGTTTCTCAGAAATTAATTAGAAAAGAGATCCTTGAGATAATCCCCAGGTATTTGTTTCAATAAAATATATTAAAAGCTATGTATATTCTTGAGAAAATTTTAATATTTAACACATTTACAAAATGGAGATTAAGTCAATTCGTACCATATACTGATTTATAACTGTAATATGTAACTGTGATATGTAATTAAATAAAAATATATACTATTAATATTTTGTAATAATACACAATTTTTGATGTGCAAAATAAATTTCGATATAATATACTTAGTGGTATAATAATTAATTTAACTTAATTCAATTTAAATCAAAGATTAGGAGATTATGCATAATCGTGAAATAATTAATTTCGAATGAGTTACTATGCAAATCGCAAATTAGTAAATGAAAGCTAATTGTTGTTAATGAATTCTGTATAATTTTCGTTGCCTTGAAACGCGATAATTGTTCGAGCGAAATTTCAAAGGCAAAAGTTTATCCCACATCTTTTATTTAATTATGATATTAATATTTTATACATTATATATATTTCTCTTATAAGAACAATTTCAATAATTTATTTAAAATCAAACATTTAAAACTAAAATTAAAAATTAAACATTTGATCGTGTAAATATCTACATACTATTTATTGATTGACTTCATTAATTAGCGGTTTATTTTATATCTACAAAAAATGAATTTAATTTATGAATGAAAATAGCCATATTTTATCGAAAGATTTAAATGTATAATAAGTTACTAAAAAATATCGTGAATAGTTATATTCAAAAAAATATCTTTATTTGATGATATTGAAGATATTTAAATAAAAATTGATTGTAACGTGCATTTGTTAATTAATTACATCCTCTAATTGCGTTTTAAATAAACTTTACAGTTAATGGAATTTTAATGTAATATGTCAATTTCAATTCAACTTTAGCACGATTGAAATTAATTTTACCTAACAATATGTGCCTACAATGTTAGTTTTTATATTTCATATTATACTATCAGAATGTTTTATATTTCATATTATACTATCAGTTTTCTAATTATGACATATTAAATTAATAAATAAATTTCATGAAGAATGTCGTAATAATGCAATAATCTTCAAATAACAATACTAATTTAACATACTGTTTTCTTACACCACAAAAAAATTTTCTTATCTTTTTCAATATATATAAATATATATAAATAATCTTCACATTTTAAACTCGATCATAATGTCATCGTGATGTTTATATAATTCTCTCTCTCTCTCTCTCTCTCTCTCTCTCTCTCTCTCTCTCTCTCTCTCTCTCTGATGCTCTCAGGTAAAATTTCATGAATTTTATTAATCTAGTTACATTATTAAACTGACAGCTCTTTAATATAATTATATTATTAATGAGATATGAATATGACGCGTCGTGATAAATTCGTTATTGTCAAACGTAAATATTAATAATATTATTAAATTTAAAAAAAGTTGCACATCGATATAATCAATATAATCAGTAGTAATTTATTAAATTTTAAGCAGATTAATACGTGTATTATACATTAATTATATATTAATTACATTTATAATATTATAAAATAATAGAAAATAATAGAAGAAAAAGATATCTAAAAAGATCGCGCTTCAAATATCGGTATTTAATTTAAATTTTGTCTAACATTAATAAATTTCAATGGTTATACTTGTAGTTAGGTAAAGATATATATAATATAATAGTTTAGAGAGAAATAATTATCTTATATTACTCAAGAGTAGAACAGTTTACAGTCTACGATAACAATACGTCACCGAATAACAGTCTGATCGACGAATCACTCATTCACGAAGCTCGACTCTGCGCTCCGAGCTCCAACTGCATTTTAACACACAGCACATACAATAAGGTTGTAACACTTCTACCACTAAATTAACAGCGATAACAGTCGTGGATAGTAATTGGCCCGCGCGAGCGAACGGGAACGTAGCTAGAACAGCAAATGTGTGCCTTTTGATTGCGTGAACTTTGCCTAGGGTTATGATCACTTCTCGGTAAGAGCTCGCTCTTATTTACGTGCATATACATTTTACAATTATACACACACGCGCAGTTGTGTGTCAAGCGCATCGAATAGAGAAACGGAAGGGAAACAAAAAAAAAGGAACGGGCGACGACGGGAAGCAAAAGACGTGCGGCGCGTTAGGTAAAATCATCACTGATCACTATACATATTAATTAATTTTGACCGGTATAATTTTACTTATTTAACTTTTGCATAGCAGAAATAATAACTAAAAACTATATTATTAATTGTTATTAATCGTACAATTTTAGGTATCATAATAAAGAGATCAGCTTCGTGCACAGAATAGAAGAAAACGGTGTTATGGAAAAGTAGATTAACTCATTGTAAGCAGAGTAGTTTTCAGTAAATTAAGTTTGAAATGCGGAGTTTCATGTTGCTGGCTCAGCTGTGTGTATAACTCCTTTTTCTTCCTTTTTATTTCGCGGATTAACCCACTTTTGCACAACACCGTTCGGAGATTCTTTAATCACCGAGATTATACCGGTCCCGATCGTTGTACCGAGCGATATTGAAGATAATGAGAAAAAGATACGGTTGATGGAGTTGCCGCATATGCTTAATGTGTAGAGATCAGTGAGAATCCATTGTCGAACTATTATCTCTCGTTTTATCCTAGATGTATCAATACACTCCAGCGAAGGAGTCTCTTTTTTCCATAACGACGATCGAACTCATTTACTTGTCTCTTTCTCTTTTTCTCTCTTTTTTGGTCGTGTACGCATACGCTCGCGCGTGAATGAACGCGTATGCGACACACATCGCATGATGTTTTATTTCAAGATATGTTTTCTCTCATTATATCAGTAATAATTTATTTTCAATATACATATGTACAGGATGTATCAAAACATCTGCTATTCCTTTTGTCTATGGATAAATTAACGACTGATTTTTTTCTCATCATTAACAATATTTAATAAAATACTACATTCTAACATATTATTAAAAAATATGCTAGATATTGTATATTTATTATCCTTGTTAATTTATGATTTATAAATCTATTCGTAATAATTATATTTGTTATTTATATTAATTTATTATAGTATATATCTATAAATAACTAAGAACAAGTTTTTACAATTTTTGCTTTTATGAAATATTTTAATAATTAAATGATATTGCCATTTGAAATTAATTTAAAATAATGTATATTGGGTCTAATGAGAAAATAAAGCAACACATATAAATTAAGAACATTATACTCCAAGATATTAAAAAAGGCTGGATATATTTATTATTTCTATTGATTTTTGCTATCATATGTAATAAGTTAAAATTAAGATTTAAGACTCAAGTATCATAATGCAACAAATTATTTTGTAACAAGCAAATGGTTACGTATTGATTCAGCTGAATTATCTTTTGTCTTGTAAAAATTGCAAAATTTGTGTAAATATAATTTTTTTTTATACAAATCGGTATTCAAATCTTATATTTGGAGCTAAAAATAATCACATTCTCAGTACGACAACAATAAATGCAATCCTTACATAAAAAGATCAAAAATTTTATTTATTTTCCTATTTAACATTTAAATGCATGATGTGAAATGCGAATCGCAGCATCGGCAAAAGGGACAGCGGTTATAGGTTATTCCGTATATCCGTATCTTGAAACTAGAACAACCAATATCATTTTATGAATCGGAAAGAGCAGGTTCAACATTACATAACATACGTAACAATTGCCTCTCGATTTCCGAGTCACGTAAAGATATCAGTTGTTTTAACTCAAAATATCGATATGTGCATATATGTATATACGCGAGTCCCTCTCTCTTTTTCTCTTCTATCTTAGGAAATTTCCGTTCTCGTTTCTGTTTTTCCGTTTTCCGTTTCCGTTTCCGTTTCGTTAAGTTGTTCTCGGCGCTCCCGGGCAGCCGGTACGCTTTGTAATATGCCCCTTTGTGTGTGTCGACAGCTCTGGAATCGACAATAATCCGACGGTCTTTTACCACTTAATGCCGGGTTCCACGGCGCAGACGAACAAGTTTCATACGTTTTACCTTCAGCAACGCGGTGAACAGTCGACAACTTGGGCTGATATTAAGGTTAATCATCCACTAGACTACGAGAGCATAAAAGAATACAATCTCACCATACGAGTGGAGGTATGACTCGTCTTTTATCTACATGCTCGCTTTTGTGAGTGAAAAAGTCTTTACATAATCAAAGTATCTTTTAGAAAAATAACATATTTTCTGATGATAAAAACCTATACAAAAATAATCTAATCGTATATTAGCTAAGAATTAACCGCTTGGACTTTAAAAGCATAGTCAATTTTTTTATTATAAATTCTGATATAAGATAAATTTAAATCGATAAAAAAATAAATAAAATACAATCCAACCACTAATACTAAAAACTTAAAGTTAAAGTTTTCAAACATATAATTTTTTTCTAATTTTTATTTATTCTGGAAGAAAATACAAAAATCTGAAATTCAAAGATCCGGGTTACAGACGAAGGATGAAAATTTCACATTGCTAACGGAGGATTAATGGCAATAAAATTTTAGCATGATAATGTTCTATTACATTGACGATAACAAATTTTATGCAATTGATGCAATGTTAAATGTAAATATAGATGCATTAAAGTCCAATTTGAATATTAAATAATATAAGCATCTATAAAAAGAGAAACAAAGACTGATATAATCAAAAAGTAACGTTTACATCTTTGTATTAGAATAATGAATGCAGATCGAGAAAAGCTTAAAATAAATGTATTCAAATATAAATACATTCGTAATTTTACACGAGAATAAAAAGGAAGAGTCGGCATCAAGAAGCACACGAACGTGAATCGTTTTGTAATCGCGGTCAACTTAATCCCACCAGAATAATGGAGCCCAGCAGCTGGCTTCTGAGGCTACCGTGTACATCATGCTGGAGGATGTTAACGATGAGATACCGCTGTTCACCGAACGAGAACAGGAAACCGTACTCGAGGGTGAGCCAGTGGGCAGCAAAGTCACCCAAGTAAACGCCATCGACAAGGACGGGACATTCCCCAATAATCAGGTAAATCGATATCATGCGCTATTGCACACTAAACAAATTGACGCATCCTGAGAGAGTAATTAATTTCGATACTAGCTAATTACTTAAGAAATAACATATGGGTTCCAAACACTTGTTCTAAATTTCTTCTGCGTTTATGTTATGTGGTATCATTTTAATAACAAAATCTTAAAAGATAAACTGATATAAAAAACATATATATAAATCATAATTTTTAATTATTTTTCTCAATTTTTGCATAATAAATATATAAGTTGTGTATTTTGTATTAAACAATCTAAATTTCTACATTTTATTACATTTGATTCAATAAATACATATATGATTATATTTGTATTTGTAATGAATTTTATATTTAGAATATGTGAGAATAAATACGCATAGAATATTTCTTCGTTAAATTAATTTAAATTAATAATACTTATTCGTTTTTTTAATTTGAAATATGGCTATTGTATCCAATTAAATTTATCAAAGAAGTACACATTTTAAATATTTATGTCCAATTATTATATAAAATGCAATTAACGAAAAACTAAATTAAAATTAGCAAAGAAATTCGGTTATAATGAAAAATGGCTGAGAAAAGCGCATCACATGTTCAACACAGTTCTTTCTACATTTCTTTACTGCAGAGATCCGATTTCGCGTAGATCGATTGCAGGAGAATTGCGGCAAAGCTATACAAAAGAACTAAAGAACATGTTCGGGAACATGTATCGCGCTATTGCGGGGACCCTTGAGAAGGATTTAAAGGAGCTCAGTCATCAAAGTCCTGATTGAGGAGAGACGAAGGACAGCTGGGAATTGGGGAATAAGAGCGGTTACAGAGTGCTTAAACACATAGCCATAACTTAGACTGTCGTATAGAAACTTTAATGTTTCATGCGAAAATGCATTGCCGCCATTGGCAGAATGTTATAAACTCTGTAACGGAGTAACGCAATTCCGACGAGCACACGTTTGAGTGGCGTTGAATTTATCACGTATGATCGCATTATCGGATATGCCAGCAACACGAATGTATATCGCGCCGACATTTAATCGCGTGATTATCATTCGTTTTACATTGAAACCGAGTTGCTATGCTACCAAACGCATTTTGTAATGCCGATACAACTACCGATTAGGTGTAAACGTGCTGAATATTATGAAACAAGCTGCTAGTTTCTGAGGGAGATATTGTAAATAACTTTCAAATCTGGGCTTAAATTAGATGAATTTTGTCTTTCGATTTAAAACTTTTAATAATATACATACTTAATGGAACTTTTCTTGCCATTGTGGAGTTTTTGTAAAATCTTTAAACTTTTTAAATCAACGCACTGATAAGTATTTTATTATAACTTCATTATCAGTTTCTTCATCAAGATGTTAAATTTTCAATTTTTTTATTAATTAAATATTACATTTTTTTTCATAATTTACAATTCTTTGACAAAAAATTATAAATTTTTATATATATAAAATCAGAAAAAGTTTTAATTTCTGTTAAATTATAGAAAATTATTCTTTATTATATTTTATCTCATACACACATTTGTAAATTTTATCTTCTTTTACATACCCTTTTAAGAGAAACAAAGAAATGAAAAGCTGTTAAACAAAAAAAAATCATAGAGAATTTTACTACACATTTATCTTTTTTTCGTTAAACAAAAATGGGATAATTCTTAGCTAAGCAACTCTGTGAAAATGATATGCAACGCAACTGCCAAAAAAAACTTTACCTCCGTAGTAAAACGGAAACGGAGCAACCGTGAAATATCACGAAATTTCCAAGTGGAAATTTGCCGATTAAATAGCATGAGATGCGCAACTGTAAATTTCACCGATTACGTGAAATTCTTCGCGCGCAAAGGATCTGTCAAATATGCACATTCTATTTGTACGTATTATACACGTATATACATATGTACATATTGTACATACATATATATTTTATACATATATATATATATATATATATATATATGTGTGTGTGTATGTATATGTATATATACGGATCTAGAGTTGCGGGGCGGAAATGCGCACAACTACCAAGACAAAAGGATACAACGTGAATCCGACATGTAGTCGAGCACAGTAATCGCGTTGCTGCAAACTCGATATCTTCTTTTCCTCGCTCCTTCATCCGTTCTTTCTTGCATGCGCACCATTATTGGCGATAGCAAATAAAGACTTTTATAAAAATAAAGAAACGGAAATTGAGAAATTGGTTGTATAATAAATAATATATAAGATAAAATTGGGTGGTAAATTTCTAAATTATTTATAAATTTTTCACGCTTAATAAAAACTGGTCTAATTTAATGTAAAATTCATAATTTCAACAAGAAAACATGTACGTAATTATCAATTCCGTCAGTTTAAATGTTACTGTAATGAATATATAGGAAATATTAATCGTAACGATAAAATTTATATAAAATCCAACGAAAGTGTGTTCCACAACATACTTTAGGATTTGCTAAATAATCTATAACCAGAACATTGTTAACATCAATTTAATCAAGTTTTTCCGTTTTCGTCTAATTAAGGGATCACAAAGAAGTACCGAGTACGTTGAAAGAAAACCATTCCATCATTACATAAAATTGCACCGTTCCGTTCGGGTTACAGTAACGTTGTTTGCCGTTTCATTAAAGTAAAATTGGAAGGCACAAAGTGCCGACACGTTCGCAACTTGTGCAAGTAAAGTCTTGCAGTGCGAATTTCATTCAAATTTTCTTCCGCGATAACTATCTCAAAGTTTCGAGCTCTCGACGCCATTATACACCTCAGACGACGACATTTTTATGCGTTTCGCGTACTTTATACATACATGCATTTTAATATGAAACAGGGAGTTTCCACGAATAAAAGTAAAACAAGTCGAATAGATCATACACTCGCAATATACTGCGTGAGAGAACCGAAATTTATTCAGAGTTCAAACTACGTTTTGGATGGATATGTTAATGATTTATGCCGATTATTACGAATTGATTTTAAAAAATTTTTATAAAACAAAAAGAATAGAGACTAAAAAAGTCATTACCTGTTAACGTAAAACACACATTAATATAGGAAATGGAATATAACGTAATGTTATTACAATGCCGTTACGCTTTATTATTAATTTTTAAGTAGGTAGGTGATTTACTCATAACACTCCAAACAATTTAATTTTATAGTTTTATATTTTTTAATAATACATACAGAGTGTGTTAAATTTATATTACTTATACCTTTATGAGATAGAAGAATGTAAAAATAATGAACTTTAAGATTTAAACTTTTCTGAATAATACTTTTCCTTTTTCAGAGAGAATAAAGTTTTTAAAATAATTATTATGCTGTGACTACCTATCTACTTAAAGATTAAATCTTTGGATGTTCCACATTTTGTACAAAACATCTTCAAATTTTTAATAAATTAAAGAATTTCACTTGAGATTTGTCGTCTATAATATTATACTATTAAACTAGCAAATAAGTACATTTTTTTCTTCGTTAATGGCGCGATGTCGAACGGAATTATGATATTCTTTCAGTTACTTGCGCATGCGAGACACGTAGATAGAGTCAATAAACTTCACATTATTTATCCAGGTCACATATTACGTGGTAAACAGCGAGAGGAACGAAGGCAAGGATTACTTCGAGATCAACAGGGAAACTGGTGAGATCTTCACGAAAGTAATGTTCGATCGCGAGAAGCAGGGTGCTTACGCCCTGGAGGTGGAGGCCCGAGACGGAGCACCTTCCGCACGACCTAACGGCAACGGCCAACCTAACTCAGGTAGGTGGTACGGAAAATTTTATTTAAAAGCCGTCTGCGCGCGCCATACAGACTGTATTGCTCGTACTATAAATTCTGTTAAATAGCAGATTATAGGAACAATGTATTTATATTCAAGTTTATGAACGATTGAGGGCGTACCAGCTATACAAAGTTATCGTATAAAATGGTATTACAACAGGAACAAATTGCTCAGTTGGAAATTATAAATGAGTTCTCAAAATAATTTATTCAATGGATATTATATAGAGAGCTTATTATAAAAATTATGCAATGACATCACAGTGCCAACCATCATACTTTAGGTTACTTAATTTTCACTTCAAAAAGCACATGAAAAATATTTGCAATTTTTAAAATACAAGAAAAGATTAATTGTACGTTAAAAAATAACGTTTTTTAATTAATTTTATATAAAGTATGAAACATTACTTCATCGAAATCAATGAAATATGAAAAAAATATACAATAGAAGTATATTCTTTGTGCAAGTATTTTATAAAGTTGAGTAAATAATAGATTGTAAAAGAATGATATTTATATTCATGCAGAATATATGTACAAATCAGACAAAATCATCATATAAAATTGGAATAGAACTCGTTTATCGTTCGGCCAGTATGATTCAATACCGAAGAAAAAAAATCATGTAGATCCGAAACTTTATAGATTTGAAAAAGAACGTTTTAAAAATATAAAATATATTAATTGTATACATTCATGTTCCTATTTATTATAATTACGTATAGCTCTCTTTGATGAAAAATTGTTTGAAATTGTTTACATACTTTTATCTCCTTTGAGAAAAAAACAAAGTTATGAACTTTTATGTACTTCTTTTAATATTATAATTGTGATCTATTTTTGTGACATTATATGTTTTGTTTTTCTTAAAGAAAAGTTTTTATTCATATTCAGAGACACTCATAAAATTTTATGTCTGTTTTAGACATCATATTAAATAAATGCTTTAAAAAATATCAGAAATTAACTATATATCATTATATATTATAAACATCAAATTATATTAAAAACTCGATAGTATAAATACAAGAATTTTATTATACTAAATGATTATTGATTTGTAGTGATAAGTGAATTACCAGTGAAATTAATATCATTTGAGGGGAAAAGAGCTCTCGGGAAAATTCACTAAAGCGCTTTCGGCCGGCAAAGCATCTTAAGGATTTTTCACACAACATGTGATTTGCATTATCAAACTTTTATGGTATGAACTTTCGTGCATTAACATGATTACGATGTCGTCTTTCGTCTTCCGCAAGAGCTTGCATCTTGCATTAGTTGATTACATGCTTATACATTTACTCGCAATTTTGAGGGAACGGAATTGATTGGAAATAATTATAAATAAATGTTATACGTTTCTATGTAAAAGAGTTATAAACGATAATCGCCAGTATTTCGCGTAACGGGATAATACTCATTCATGTAATGTAATAACTTTTCCATAAGAATTTTTGTACATAATATTTTGAATATTAAGCTTTTTTCAAATAATATAATAAAACAGAAACGATAATCGTGTAAAGCTGATTATAATGATAGAATATAAAAGATATTAATGTATTCTGCAATTAAATTTGTATTCCTGTTGAATTTTGATCAATTAGAGAGATGAAAAATAATCAAAGACCTTGAAGGGTTTTTAATACAAATTGTGAATCGCTTTGAGTCAATTCGTGTAATTATTACAGTATTGTAAAATTAACAATAGTTATGTAATGCGATTGTTAGTTTAATGGAATGCAATGCAATTTGCATGTAATGCAAATCATTAATCTTGCATTACTGTTTATAACTTGTTGCAAATTGTATAACGTTAATTTCCGCGTTGCTCAGTATCTTACTTGGAGGTTAAAAAATTTAATCCAATATTGCATACGAAATTTATTGTCATTTATTGGATTAAATAAAAGACAATTGCTTCATTTTTTGATGTATCAATATATCCAATAAAATAAATGCTATCGTCTCTTATTCAATCCAACAAATGACTTTTATGTATTTAGTAGATTAAATGTTGATTTTATTCAATTCTCTTTTCTCTAAATAGAAAATGAAAATGTTTATTTAGAGATTTAGAGATTTAGAAATAATAAACGAAAAAGAGAGAGAGTAACCCGACTAAAAATTTATCTATGTTATATTTTTTTTTATATCTCTTCCTTAAATATTCAAAGATTCATAAAGAAATAGTAGACTTTTTTTTAATACTTCGACAGATTTTCTCTGTGAAATGGATACATTTCATCGCTAAAGTGGCACGTTGCACTTTTCATGAAATTTTAAACACTGAAGTTCCAATTCATCGATCGATATTAACGTACAGTTACTTTCCCTTCTCGCTACCGATATGAAATAGGGGAGACCGGGGCTAATAGACTAATTTTTTAGTTTCAAATTTTTACACACGAAATTAAAAAAACTTATCGAAAAAATGAATTCTACACCAGTTACTACATTTGATTATCTAATAATATTTTAATATTATAATAAGGGGAAACTGATAACTAATATAAAATATAAAAAATATAATATAAAAAAAAAATGCATTTTTCTAATGCATTCCATCTGATTCGACTAGCCCCGGGATCGGGGTAATTCAACTAAGATTATTAAAATAAAGATTAATAATTAATATTTTAAGCTACATCTTTGGCTACATATTAATAAAACTTTTATAAAAATATATTTTAAACACAAACATTCTCTTCGCAAAACAATGCTTCTTTTTGTAAAATTTGTTCATTTCAAAATGAACATTTCAAAAATACGTCGAATGAGCCTAGTTTTTGAGATTGGACATGAGGGAACTAAACTTATAACCACTTATTTACCACTGAGGAAAATCTCTTTAAAAGAATAAAATTTTGAGTAAGTACTATAAGAGTTGTTACTAAATGAGTACAGTTTCAAGCTGTGATTAGTCTATTATACTCCCCCAGTCCGTTCATTTTTTAAAAACATTAACAATATACGATAACAAAGACACATAAATAAAAAAAATCTGTTGTACTTTATTAAGTAAGAACTACACTTACTATCTAAGTAGAAATCAAATATTTTAAACAATCATATATGAAAACAAAAACTTCGAGAATAAAAATATTTATTTAGGTACGATTTTTTAAAATTGTGACATAACTTCTATCATAGATGTGTTCGCAACAAGATATTACAGCAGACTTAGCAGCAGTCGCTGCTGTGTGCTCAGACACGTTTTTACGCGAGTCTCGCGTGTTTTGTTGGGCGGAAAAAATTCATTATTATATTAAAAATTCATTATGCTTGAATTTCCTACATAATTATTTTGATGGTCCAACAAAATTATTTTCAGATCTTTATTTACTTCAATTTTTAGATATTTCAGCAAAATCGTTTTTTTCCATATATATATATATACGATAATTGACGGATAATTAACGTGGTTATAATCAAGATTTTACGAAGATAATGCGCACTTTCGTTAATTAAAAGTTAAACCTAAGAACTTCGAACGGATAGTTAAGTCTTAATAACATAATTTTCATTAAGCATCGAATTGCGCGATGTCACGCGATTATAATGCACGCACATATAGTGCACATACTGTTAAATAAGATTGATATATGGTCGATATGCGTCCCTTTCTCATTATTTGTTCGCAGAGAAAATTGAACATTGAAGAAGATATACAACAATTTGAAAGCTGTGTATAAGATTAAATATTTCTCAGCATTGCTGAGTCAGCAAACCTCCTGAGAATTTTTACATGCTACATTAAGACGATATATTACTTATTTTACAGGCTTCAGTTCGGGTTCTCAAATTATTGAGAGATAGGTTACTATCCGTCCGTTCTTTCATCTCTTTTGAAAGTTTAGCAGAAACGGGCTTTATATTCAAGTGAATATCTTCCTCAGAGGTGAATATTCTTCTTCTTCCTGAGGCTATATTTTCAGTAAAAGCCATGTAGAAATTGTTTTAATATCCAATTAATATATAAAACTCAAGAATAATATATGTAAATGCTAATAATCGAGCAACAAAATTTTAATCAAGTATTATTTACATAGTACTGGATCTCTATAAATGCGATATTATTACTTTATCAAATTACTTATTATTAGATTATTAGATTATTACTTTTAACGATTAAACAACACTTAAATATTGTTTTACTTAAACTATTTAAATAGCAAAATCTATTTAATATTTATTAACTAAATATTCAGCAGTATAAAGTGTAAATTTTAATATATAATAATATGTCAGAAATTTAAAACAAATTTTATTAAAGCGCAAAAATAAATTTCGTGTAAATATTTCGTATAAAGCCGCTTTATTTGAAGAAATATAAACACATTGCAAATGTTTCAATGATAAAATTTAGCTCGCTTAATAAATTTTAACATCACTCAAAATTGCAAATATAAAATTGCCTTCAAAACATATACGATACTCAATATCGCTATCTACAAAAAGAATATGAAAAAAAATTGATGATATTAAACTCGTAAGATAAATGATATATAAAATTAAAAAATATGAAATAATAATCGCTTTATTTTATGGATTTATTACGGAATCGCGAGAATTACATATGGATATCTAAAAAGTCGATATGAAGTTCAAATTACTATTCGTTGAAAGAGTAAATTTATTCGCCTCGCGTTTGTCAAACTTTTTCATATAACCATTAAAAGAACCGAATTTTATTGATTCTTATTTTTACAAAAAGTACATATGCGTATGCAAGATTTTATCGCGTGATCTCAAGCGATCTATATATTTATGCGTTCATATATATTTGTATTTCTATTAATTAATTTATTCGTTTCTTTCTATTTTTCACTGTTATTTAAATAATAAATTCAAAATCATGTTTAATAAATCATGAAATATCCTATTCAAAATAAAAAATTTTCATTTATATTAATAAGTATATAATGTAATAAGTATATAAGTAATGCTTTTTAATTGGATTTCCTGACAATAGAGAATTTTAGAATGTCCAGTAAAAGATAAAAGCAATAATATTTTTTTATTAGAAAATATAAGAGTGCACTTTTATATTATATGCACAAAGAAATAACAAATTAAATATCCTAGATCAAATATTGGTTCTAATAT